TTCAAACTGATCTAATAACAGTCAAATCCGACTTTTTTGCGCGCGAAAATCGGTCGGCGCGCGTTGAGCGGAAACTTCAATCGATCATAACTCCGAAACCGTTCGGTTCCCTAGCTTAATGGACCACTCGTTGGATGCGGAAAAAGACGAACAATTTAAAAAACTGGTTTTGATTCAAATAAAAAATTGAGACCTTTGTAAATTTTTCGTTTAAAAGAAATTTTCTAGACCTAAAAACTGGAAAAAAGCACATATGTTGACTTAAAAATGTGATATCGGGATTTCGACCTTTAGAATCTTAAAGTAAGCAATTTTAGACGATTTTTCGTCCAAACCGGACCTCGATATCTTTGTTTGTTCAAGAGATATCGAGGTTCACAGGTTTTGACTTCCACCCCCCCTAGCACCCCCCCAAAATTTTTTGGGAGCCTGAAAATTTGGGAAAAGAAGCGCTCAAGTATGAGTAATCAATAGACAAAGTCTGAAGAACTTCCAGAGGGGGGCGAAAAAAGCCGTTTTTGCATCAAGCTCTTTGGCTATTTTCAGCAGATTTTCGGCGGGAGAATACTTCTTTTTCAGATTTTTGTGGGATGAAACGTTCCGAAGAATTCAAGAATTAGTTTCTCAGTAGAATTTATGTGGTTCAATATTTCCAGATTAAATAATTAAGGTGGAAATAAATAAAGAAGGAGAATTAATTAAAATACGGGTAAACAAGGCTAAAAATTATTGAAACACTAAAAGGTAGGACGTTTCGAGCTGCTTCCAGCTCATTTTCAGCTTCAAAAACACATAAAAACAAGTAAAAAATTGAGTGGCGACCTGACCCCAGCCGTTATCACGTAACCACTCATAATAACGGCTGGGGTCAGGTTGCCACTCAATTTTTTACTTGTTTTTATGTGTTTTTGCAGCTGAAAATGAGCTGGTAGCAGCTCGAAACGTCCTGCCTTTAAGTGTTTCAATAATTTTTAGCCTTGTTTACCCGTATTTTAATTAATTCTCCTTCTTTATTCGTATAATCGGGCTATGTTTTTGTGCTTTATCGGTGGAAATAAACAAATCAGAGTTCATCAGTATACTGAGTAGATGACATTATTGAAAAAAATTGCAGATTATAATATATCATATTTTTGAAGTTTAAAGCCTTAGAAACCGAAAATTAAAGCAAAATCCTACCAAAATGAGACTTTTGGTTCCTAGTTTTGAATTCCCGCCAGGCCCCCATGAGAGCAGTTAATTGCTACCAACTGTTGTAAGAATATTGAAACAGAATACTTAGCATAACAGTACTTGATAAAATTTTATTTGATCAAAAACCATTATTACTTATTACTATTTATACTTTTTTCAAGCTTTATAATCAGATTCAATAGGAAATTTCTCTCGATCCGGTCAAGTTCTTTCACTACTGGTAGTGCCATCAATTTTCTAAAGTTGCCTAACCTGTAGCAAAATTACTCACGCTTCTGAAGCATTGGCTAGATTGGATGTTAGCGATCTGGACTAATCTGTGCACGTGAGTCGTCGAGATAATCTCCCGCCTTCCGCCCTCCGCGGGAAAGCCCACCGTTTTCAAACTTCCCGCTCGAGTGGTCTCCTGCTGACGTCATGCGCAGCAGAGGTCTTATTTTCGTTTTCGGAAGGACAGACCTAGTCTCATTAGGTCATTATGCTCACCCTAACAACCCTAACCATAGAATAAAGAGATTATTCATTCTATGCCCTAACTCTTTTTCGCTCTCTTGTCCTTTCAATTCTCAATATTAATTAATTCATCATGGATATCGACCCAGTTGCTGCGTTATTGAATGGAATCGACGCTCAGTTCCAGAACCCTGTACCAGCGGACAGAAGAAACATGTTGTCTATCTTATGTAAGTTATGTTTTCTACTTTTACCAGATATGAAGCCGAGACAGGTTTCACGAGTCTAGACTTTTTTTATTACCATATTTTAAATGACGTTGAAAATTATTTTTAAAGCGTCCAGCCCACTTACTAACTGGAGGCTTCAACGAGGCTCATTGGTGGAATTTTTGATCATTGGCTTTCAAAGATCGTCAGTAACCATTACGTTCGCTACCTAGGTATCAAAGATCAGATCCCGAGATTTGCCAGGAATTTTGAGCAGAAATGACCGAGATATAAAAAAATTAGTGCCAGTTTGAAGGTCCTCGTTTGTACGTGGGCTGGACGCTTAATAGATATAGGTAGATATTTTTCTTCTCTGTAACAGGCATTCAATAAAGTTTTTTCTGAGCGGCGGAACCACCGATTGCCATTTTGGTACGAAATATTGGGATGTTGATCAGTCAGGAGTTTAAGAATGAACATTCCACCAATGTTAACAAATAGATTTCCTCCTTTCTTCAAACCTTTACCTCAATTATACTGTAATAATGTAAATATATACTCAATGTACTAGCATGAACCTTTTTCTGCCGTAATTAAAGTATGGAGAAAAATAACACTAAGAAAACCTGGATATTATATAATTCGATACATAGGCGACAGTGACGATGCCAAATCATCAGACTCATCAGCGGCGGAAGGCGCAAAATACCCACGTTTTCTCGGTTGTCTGTTTATCTTTGGCTTGAGATCAGGCTGAAGTAGGGTAAGATTGTCCACTGGCAGACCGGTGGATTGAAAGTACTGGAGAAATCTGCGGTATCCCGAGCGGTAGATTTGTGGGAGCGAATCCACCGGCGGTGGCTCCACCGTTTGTGATGTCAGCACCAACCAGTAAGTTTAAGAACGCAGTTTGGTGATCGGTTGTACCGTCGGTCAATTAAAAAAAACGCTTACTTAAAGTGGTTCGATGCATGGTTAGGTTCAATACAATTGAACATACCTAACTTCAAACAAAAATTTTATGATATGATTTAGAAAAGCTGAAAATGAGAAAATTCCTAAAAATGTCTTTTTTTATTGTCATTTGAAATCCAAAGACCCGTTACCTCAGATTTCTTAATTGACTTTTGAGGCTGTGTTTACATGTTGAACCAATTGATATCGATACAATCTTACCTGTTTGATGTATCGAGTACGATTTATTGAATGTATTTATGTTCAATATACGTCTAATTATGCTTACAGGCCAAGGAGAATTTATCTATTCCAGTCATTTATTTTTGCAGAAGGACATATAATAATATTAATAATTAACCCCCATCTCAGGATATAAACCTCTATGCAGACGTCTTCCAGACACCTACCCTACCTCAATATCTTAAACTAAAATTCTAGGCTCTGACGAGTCACCTCCCAAGTGAGAGGGCCACCAACCGGCCACCCAAACCTAAAGCAGCCCGCTTACTCAGGAGCATTGTTTGCCCCTGTATAAAGATTTACCTAAACCAACCCAGCACACGCTGGTGTTCAGTGTCAAACTGAGAACAACAATAATAGTTATAATTTCAATATTAAAACCAGAGTGTTGTTGACTAAGAGTCGGAAGTTACACCCGAGATCCTGCAAGGCATAGAGAAAAAAAAGGAGGTGTTCGCATTTCGGGCATCTTTGATTTTTTTGATGACGTAAGTTGGCACGGACGATTTTTATCATTTTTTTTTGGAAATGGTGTAGTTTATGGAAAAAATTCATTCTACATAAAGTGTTTGTAATTATAACATGAGTTGATTTAAGCAAAAAAATCGGACTTTATGGTCCGTTTTTCATATTTCGAATTTTGCTGGCCATGTTGTAATGACCTACATCAGGGGGTAAGCAATCCTTGAGATGCATACACCTCCCTTTTCTTCTCTATGCCTTCAAGGAGAGAGTAAATATTTTTATCGGGAAGTAGGCGGAAAAGGCCTCCTGGACATCCACTAGTTGTGTAATTGTCAGGTGCATGCGCTGAGGACATATTTTGCATATTTTGCCCCTTACATCCAGCAGTCGTTAGCATGTACAAGAACTATACGTGCTTGAACTTGGCCTCTCCTCAGGGACCTGTGCATCCACCGTTTCCCACGGATGAGCAGAGAGAGACTGTCTAGGCATCCAAAGAGTTGCACAGAAGACACTTAAGCCAGGTCCACCAAGATCATATGGGTGGATTTCAGCTAATGGGAGAAAATGGTTCTGAAAAAAAGTTTATAAGTGATTTGGCTGTATCAAGCTAAAGACTACTTTTCTGTTATCTTATAGCGCCATACTATAGTATTTAATTACGTGCATCGCAATATCTTTACGATTATGTATAGAAATGAGACTTGGAAGTCAGAAAAACTACCATTAATGTCAGTTTGGTGACGCTTGCTGTTTTGGCTTTGAAAAAATCAATTCAGTTGAGTTGATGAACTGATTGAAAGCATTAGGCTATTCTCCAGGCTAGACACCCACCCACCCCTTTAAACGCGATCGGATGGCTAGGCCAGACACCCCCCCCCCCCCAAAAAAAAATAATTACGTAAAATGTGGCTCAACGTTTCCCTTTTCTAACAAAAGAAGTGAAAAGAAAAGGAAAGGAAACAATTCAAAATAAGCTGACGTGGTTAAGACCTCCATCAACTGACAAGGCTAATACATTAAATTCGTACATGATTAGTAAAATTAATATGTAGGAGGAGGGTTGATGTAGCATTAAAGGGCTCATTATTTTTTTCAAAAATTATTAAGGAATACCTTCCACAATTTTTCCTTAATTGTCAAAACCCTTCCACTTTATTTCAGAAAGATATGAGAAAACCCTTCTTCACTTTCTGGAAAATTTTGAAAACTCTTCCACAGTATTGTGGTTAAAAAAGTGGAAATCCCTTCACAATGTTTTGTTAAAAATTAATTATCAAATTTTGAAGTGAGGAGAAGAAGAAGAAAAAGAGCTTTCACAACATCTGGGAGGCTTCCACATTTTCACGCGAAAAGTTTTCGGCACGTGATCGCGTTTCCGTAAAATCGGCAACGGCCTCCAGAATTTCACGCGAAAATTTTTTGCGTGATGTAGAATAATGCGGGCCTCTGCATCCTCCTCTAAACTGAAGAGTTCCTATTGCCTATAGTTAGAATGGAGATGTTGCATGTGTGAAGAATTTGCGATTTGACCGTTGATTCTTATGTCAAAGTTCGCGAGAAACACGATGGTGCCACTGCTTTTCTCTGAAATCATCTCCCAATCTCAAAAAAAGCTCCGGAAGTGAGGCCAAAATGGAGGGGATATCCCACCCTACCCTGAGAGTCCACCTCTACATCAAAACAAACTCTCCATGCAAAGATAGGGAGCAAATACATTAGCAGTGATGCCGTGTTTTCAGTTTTGGAGTCCCCAAATAAAGTGGCAACCCTGCCATTGTATTTGCTCCCTATCTTTGCATGGAGAGTTTGTTTTGATGTAGAGGTGGACTCTCAGGGTAGGGTGGGATATCCTCTCCATTTTGGCCTCACTTTGAGAGCTTTTTTTGAGCTTGGGAGTTGATTTCAGAGAAAATGGCACCATCGTGTTTCTCGCAAACTTTTACATAAGAATCAATGGTCAAATCGCAAATTCCTCACACATGCAACATCTCCATTGCAGGTGAGCAAAGCGCTAGCCACTTATTCGCGTCTCTGAGTGTTCCAAGGAAGCCTGATATTTACGGTGATACCGCTATTCGACCATGCGGGAGCCCATGCTGCCTACACTAAAAATTGAAGGCGAACTGCCCTGGTATTGAGCCATCTCTTCCCTGTGGTGAAAAAATATTATTTATATATTCCAAGTAAGCATTCTATTTCACGATTTATTCATTTTACTAATCATGTATGAATTTAATGTATTAGCCATGTCTGTTGATTGAGGCCGTACCCACGTCAGCTTAATTTGAATTTTTCCCCTTTTCTTTCTCTGTCCACAACGCTCTTGTTGCATGCCCATGGCTCATGAGTGCCGCATATACTTGGCACAAAATGTAAAATAGAACAGAATGTAAAATACTGATTTTCCATTTCTCCATAGAGAATCACGCCCACTTTAACATTGTTTCTTAAGCAGCTCACAACGAACACATCCCATCTTTCCCACTCGTCTATAATTCCGGTTGAAATATAAGCAGCATTGATGTCTTTCTGAAAGTTTTCCTGTTTGTTTTGGACGTTACCAATCTGACATTTTGCTGTTATTAATTTTTCCTGCCAATTTACAATAGCAAAATCAAACGAATCATTGAAGCTATACTCAACGTATTGTGTGATGGTTCCAACCTTAATAAAAACAATAACACACACCTCCATGTTCAAATTCTGTGTAAACGAAAATCTGAATACTGTGTGTTCTGTGTTACTTTTTAATATGCACTTTAACTTTTCGTGCGATTTTACCCTTAGAAAGTCTATTTACTTTGCCATATCTCTTGCTTGTAACAGATCTATGTCACATTATATCCTTTTTTTTGTGTGTTTCTTCAAGGCACTTACCTCATAGTAAGATATAAGAACAGCCCTATTGAAGCGTTTCACAAAATATGTTTTGAATTAATGAAGAAAGTAGTCACTGCAAAAGTAAGTTATCCTATTTGTTAAGGAATTGTTGCTTGTTTAAATTTGCATGCCTATGTGTAGCCGGGTGTTAAATAGCGCAAGTTTTTTTTTTTTTTTTTTTTTTTTTTTTTTTTTTTTTTTTTTTGGCGCTGAGGAGGTTAAGGGGAATCAGTCGGCTGACGATACCCATTCCAGGGTCATTTGTGCCTCAGAGTACCTTCACAGGGAGAGTATTGACAACTCGAAAATTAAGAGGTTAGGGTTGATCTGGTCATGTAGCTCTTGGAGCCCAATAGGGCAGCCACTATAACTTGAATTATCCAGTGGTACTAATTTTCACAATTCTAACTACCCGGCGTTTCATAAAGTATAAAAGCACGTATAAAACTTTGATTTCGCATACATTTTCTCAGTTTCGAAGTCTTAATCCTGTAAGACACTCGTTTCCAAAGCGCTGTCAGCCATATTGATCAATCTTCCAAATACATAGGTTGGCAGCGGAACTTTTCTAGTGATTTCCGTTTTACACGTTGTCGCCCTTTTGGGCCCTAAGAGCTACATAAATTGAGTTGTCCATTTGCTCTCTCTGTAAGAGTGCCTTAGCTTCGTCCTACTGAGTCCTAATGGCAACGGTTCCTACGAATATGAGCAAGAGAGAATGTAACAAAAAAAGGTGAAACAAGGAGAAGGGGAGAGAAAGTGAACGAAAGAAGAAATTTTTCCGGTTCCCGCAGCTCCCAACCTGGCTAGTGGAGTAGTGGCACCCAAGCTAGGCCACTGTATCCTCTCTTGGTGCTGTAACTAATGTTGTCTAGTTCGTGACCGTCCGCCCTAAACAATCTACTTTAGCAATCTTCAATCATTTATTGAAATCGAAGTTACAAACTTTAAATTACTTATATTTCTTTCTTTCCTTTTTTCTTTTTCATCCCCTCAAACAATAGTTCCTCCTCTCTCTTTCTGGTTTCCCACTCTTTGCGGTCTCGGTTTGAGCGTGTCTGCAAAGAGCCCCTATGAAAAGTGTTTTTTTTTTCTCCAAGAGATTTTTAATCACAAGTAAAAAAAGGAGGAAAAATGATGGGGAACAGAAGCCACATACCCTAGGCGCAACCCAATATCGTACTGATAAACCACGAAAAGTGAGAACAACTTTTAGGAATAGAGTGATTAATAATAATAACTAAAAACTGGTGAATGCCCTTGCAAGCATGATGCAAACTTGGGCTACCCGACTTCAAGTGAACACTGATGGGGAATTGATATCAACGGAACTGACAGCAGTCAAAAGGGGAATCTATAAGGGAGACTCTCTATAGCCTCTTCTATTTATTATCTGCATGTCACCGTCATCTAGTATGCTTAGAGCACTCAGACGAGGATATAAATACTGGAATCTAGAGACAGAAGTGCACCATTTATTCTTCGTAGATGATCTGAAACTATTTGCCGACGAAGAGGAAGACCTGGAAGTGCAGGTGAGGGAAGTGAAAGAGTTCAGTGAGGATAATATGGAGGATGGATATGGATGTATAGAGTTCGGTGTATAAAAATGCGCCAAGCAGTTTTTACCAATGCGGTATATTCTTTTAGTGGAAACCCGGAAATGGAACCGAATCCGGAAATCAGACAGCTGCAAGAAGGTGAAATCTACAAATACTTTGGTGTGGATGAGAGATCTGAAAAATCGAATTTGGCAAAAAAAAAAAAAAAAAAAAAAATCCATAAGCAGATGCCATTAATACGCATGATGTATAAAAATTTGGTTCTCCAGAAAATTTATCAGTGTATTGATTTATACAGGGTGATAAAAAAGTCCCTTCCACCCCCTCTAACTTTTTACCAGTTGAGGTAAAGATTTGAAACTTTGGGAATGTTCCTTAGTCAAAGGGAGCCCCCTAAAATTTTCAGGGGGGGGGGCTCCCCTTGAGGGGCAACAGAGCCCAATTTATTTTTCAAATGGAAAGACCCCCTTTGTGATAGCTCGTTCGAAAGAGCATAAAGAAAGAGTTTTTTTCGCGCAAACCCGAAGTCAATATCTCAAACCGTTTTCAAATGGCGGCCGGTTAAAGTTCAAAATAGCCCAAAATTTTCACGTCGATTGTTTGCTGATGGATTTGCATAAAACTTGGAACTTGAGGGTAGTTTTGCATAAGATCAACACATTTAAACTTAGATTTCTAAAAAAAAAAAAACAATTTTCGGTCATTTTGAACTTTAACCGGCCGCCATTTTAAAACGGTTTGAGATATTGACTTCGGGTTTGCGCGAAAAAAATTCTTTTTTTATGCTCTTTCGAACGAGCTATCACAAAAGGGGTCTTCCCCTTTGAAAATAAATTGGGCTCCGTTGTCCCCCAAGGGGAGGCCCCCCCCCCCCGAAAATTTTAGGGGGACCAAAAAGTAGCTCCCTTTGACTTAGGAACATTCCCAAAGATTCAAATCTTTACCTCAATTAGGTAAAAAGTTAGAGGAGGTAGAAGGGACTTTTGGATCACCCTGTATATATAAAAATGAGACAATTTTCCGATTTAGGTAGCAGCAAACAGTTAGTTGAAGTTGCTCCATTACGCTCCTCGGTAAAATAATTTTATTGTTATTTCAGACGGAAAGCAAAAGGGTCGGTTCCACATGAGGGTTCATATGCTCTTATGCCATCTGGAAAAGCATGATTATTTGACAAAGCGGGGAACATTCGTTGGATATGCGATACATGTATCATTGGGTATTTTTAGTTGCTAGATCCGAAACTGACCTTATTTCATCTCTATCGATAGGTCTATCTATCCATAGGCTTCACTTTCTCGTAAAATAAATCATTCCAAATAGCCCGTTTTAAGGTAAAACTATGGTCATAATTGGACTCAGCGCTATTCATAAAATTCCTGACATTTGTTCAGAGGAAGAAGAAAACACGTTCACGAGAGCCTTATCAGGCAAAAACGCGCCGTCGCTAACAAGTACTGCGGGATAGCGCAGAGAGCAGTAAGGGTCAAAGTCTCGAAATCGAGTTCCCCTCAAAATTCGTCTAATCTCTTTTAGATGAAGTCGCTGAAATTGTTAAAACAGCAAAATTCATCTTATTTTCATGGTAAAGAGACACGTGAGAAAGCCGTAAGTGGGCAGAAAATGACGTAGTTGCAGGCAAGACGGCAGTAAGTATGACAATATTCCTCCGGAGAGCCAATGAAAACAGTGCTATCAAGTAAAGATTTTTTATTTTTTTATAGTGTTCAGCACAACTAATGGTGAGAGGTTCAGAGCGTGAAAGGGGTCGCCACCCTCTTCTGCGAATATCTAACCTGAAAATGTGTTTGTCGTGTGTCCAAAACGCAACCACGAAATCATGCAGTAGATAGCACTTACGGCTGTCTTGCCTAACAATAACCTAGCATGAAAATGAAAAAGACTTTTTATGCACATTGGTAAAAAATACACATTGGATCTAGAGTCCAGACTCTTGAAAACATTGACAAGAAAATGGATTCTTGATTCAATCAGATTTAAGCTTAAATCTGATTGAATCAAGAATCCATTTTCTTGTCAATGTTTTCAAGAGTCTGGACTCTAGATCCAATGTGTTTTTTTTTACCTGTGCAATTGAAAGAAAACGGCACTAAACGTAAAGAGAGGTGTCGATTATCATGTTTTTTGGATCGTAGATTCCAGAAAAATTGTCATACAGACCCCTCGACCCACGGAAATGCCCACAATCCAAGATGGCGGGCGATTTTGGCTCTTTAGTGGCTAAAACGTCAAATGCGGAGCAAAGAGAGGAGTATACACTCTAGATATCTGTTTTCGAAGTCACAGATTCCAAAAAAATAGGAGAAAAAAACATTTCATGCCATATGGTGCTGATTTGGACCATGCAAAGGCCGAACTCGGCAGTTAGAGTGTTCAGGAACACTCTAATCGAAATCATTTTCCGGGTCAGTTTCTATAATTAGCATTATTGGGTTTTTTAGGACCGGTACCCCTGCAGAATATGGGTAAAGTTCTCAAATACGCAATAAAACCATTGGTGATCAGCAAAGCATTGGGTTGGAGGATGGGCAGCAGATCAAAGGCGCACCATAGGTCCTTGGGGGTTCCGTTGACCCAGGATGGAAGAACGGATAAAGGGATCAAGGAAAGAAACATCCTAGCAAGGAAGGCTACAGCTATATTCAATGGAATCCTCTGGGATTCGTAGATTTCCAAAGAGAACAAGAGGAAAATTTACAACGTTGAAGACATAAGTATTCTTATATATGACAGTGAAGTTTGGCAGCTGAAGGAACGGACACAGGGGATGCTAAGAGCAACGGAAATGGATTTCTGGAGAAGGTCGCTGTAGGAATTTTTAGAAGCGATCGGGTCCGCAATGAAAGAGTGCGTCAGATCATGGGAGTCGAAAATGACATCGTATTCGACAGCATGATCAGACAGCTTGACTGGTATGGCCATGTCAATAGAATGACGGACGAAGGACTGCCGTAAAAGATGCTTCATTGGGTTTCTCCTGGGAGGAGACATAGGGGATACCCAGTGAAAGGGTGGCGACATAGGGTTTTAGAAAAAATGAGGGTATGTAAACTCCCTGAAAGGCCTTAGGAGGATCGGGAACTTTGGCGGCTAGGTGTCGCAGAGCGCCAGAGAGCGCTATGAAAGCGGCTTTGTATGTATGTGTAATATATTAATTATTATCGAAATTGGGAGTATGAGGTACTCCCCGGCAATAGCACTGTTTAACAAGCAAAAAAATTACAACCATGTCTCCCGGATGAGATAAGGTGATTCCTACGTATTTTGAGGGGCTGAGTCCGGAAACCTCCGTTCTTTTCCATCACCCTACAATTCTCTGGAAAAGCCGATTCCACCCGAAAAAATGGTCATTATCCTGGTTAGTTTTTCGGAAAACCGAGGGGTGATCGGGAAGAATACACGCAATTTCCAGATTTAGTGGCTCAAAACACATCGGAATAGTTTTATTGCGTATTTGAGAACAAATATACCCATATTCTGCAGGGGTACCGGTCCTAAAAAAACCAATAATGCTAATTATAGAAACTGACCCGGAAAATGATTTCGATTAGAGTGTTCCTGAACACTCTAATCAAAATGACTGCCGAGTTCGGCCTTTGCATGGTCCAAATCAGCACCATTTGGCATGAAATGTTCTTTTCTCCTATTTTTTTGGAATATGTGACCTCGAAAACAGATATACAGAGTGTTTACTCCTCTCTTTGCTCCGCATTTGACGTTTTAGATAATAAACCCAAGTACCAGTAATCGCGATAAATAGCGATTTTATCGGTTGATTATCGCGATTTTACCTATTGGTGGCAATTTACAGCAATATTATCGAATAAAAAATTGCGATTTATGGCGATTACATCGCTATGCATCGCAATTTTTTGTTTAATAAAATCGCGATCAATTTTCGACGATAAAATCGAGATTGAATCGCCATATATCGCGATTTTTGTTGCGATTATATCACAATTTTTGTTGCGATAATATCGCGATAAATTGCCGGGCGATAAAACCGCGATTTTATTGCGACAAGATCGAGGATAATCGCTCAGATGTTGATGATCTTAAGGATTTTATCGACGACAAAATCTCAACAAATCGCGATTTTTCCTTTGAAAAATGCTACTTGGGAAGAGCCAAAATCGGCCGCCATCTTGGATTTTGGGCATCTCCGTGGGTCGAGGGGTCTGTATGACAATTTTTCTGGAATCTAAGATCCAAAAAACATGATAATCGACACCTCTCTTTACGTTTAGTGCCGTTTTACCAAAATATCAATTTCAGCCTCCACTTTGGCCGCCATCTGGTTTTTGGGGCCTTGGCATCAAAATCGGAGAGTTCACCAAAGATTTTCTCATTCTAGGGACCAAAATGAAGAGAGTAAACTTGCATCACAAACATGCAAACGGGACGTAATTTTCGAACACATGCTCCCCTGACTATGCAATAAATCGCCTTTTCCCGTCATTTTTGAGCATTTCCGGCCGGTTTTCATTTCCGTTTGGATCCGTGCCCCATCGATGCACGTTAGTAAGGGTTTATTACTCGAAAGTATACACCTTAAGGTTGAAATGGAGAGAGAAAATTGGAAATTGCAGTTACAATCCATGGAATGCATCGGTTACGGTGTGAAAAATCGTCTTTTTGCGTCAATTTCGAGGATTTTCGGTCGGTTTCCGGTTTCCATCAGGCCGTTAATCGACCGGTGCTTGTATGGAAAGCGTTGATAGTCTGTTTTTATACATGTTAGAGGTGTTTTTCTTAGTTTTTAATAAGAAAAATATATAATTACGTAGTAATTATAAATAAATACCAAAACAATTCTCGGTAGATGTCAAAGACTGACTGAAAACTTTTATTAACCTCTTATGAGAAAATATACATTTTATCAGCTGACACTGACATTGTTGTCAGATGAACATTCTCCCGAGGGAGCGAAAGTGATTAAAATTTATTTATGATATATTATAATTTATTGATATATTTGTGGATATCCATTTTATATGCTAATTATGCAATTTTGTGCTGCTATATGCATACAATGTCACTGTCTTACGGGCGTCCCGTGCAGTTGAAATGTCACTGTCTTACGGGCGTCCCCTGCAGTTGAAATGTCACTGTCTTACGGGCGTCCCCTGCAGTTGAACAGTCCATTGTTTCAGAACTGATTTAGTCCCACAGAGATTCAAACGATCTCTGCATGGAATAGTGGTCTTACGGGCGTCCCCTGCAGTTGAAATGTCACTGTCTTACGGGCGTCCCCTGCAGTTGAACAGTCCATTGTTTCAGAACTGATTTAGTCCCACAGTGATTCAAACGATCTCTGCATGGAATTATTAGCCCACGGAGATCAAATAGATCACTGCATGGAATTTTTAGACCGCGGAGATCAAATAGATCACTGCATGGAATTATTAGCCCACGGAGATCAAATAGATCACTGCATGGAATTTTTAGACCACGGAGATCAAATAGATCACTGCATGGAATTATTTGCCCATGGAGATCAAATAGATCACTGCATGGAATTAGATTTTTATGGATATCAATAGGAAATACTGCCTCATTAAAAACCTTAACCATAAGAAAAACCATTGGATAAAAACATAGGCAAGGGAGAAAGAGTGCGGTATACGATTGAGTTGAATTCTGATTTGTTTGATTCAGATAAGCATTGACGGAATGATTGTTGTCGCCTTCTCCGATGTTTTCCGATGTTGATCTGTTCTTTTCCAATAAGCTCTGTCAGTTTGTCTCAAGTTCACCAAGAGATTGTTTGAAGTTGATGATTGATTTTCACATTAGACTTCAAATGTTTATGCTCTGGTGTACAGAAAGAGTCGCTCAAAAGGGTGCAGCATTCAATTAAATTATACTCTGATCATTTAATTTGGGTAAGCGATCACGGGTGATGATTTTTTATTCTTCTTGAATAATCATTCCTGGCCAAATAAAATTGTTGCAGTGTGAGTGCACGCTTCCGTTTGTTTGTGAATGTTAAAGTACTATCTGCTCTGCTCGTTATTCTAGATGGTTTAAAGATATAGGAAGTTAAACTTGAATTTCTCCTCCTGTTTTTGTTCATTATTTTCTTCTTTTGCGTTTCTTTTCATCATCGATAGGCGATGAGCAGTCAGGGTTTCATACAAGATTTCATGCATAGGATGTAGGATATACATAGGACAACACAAGATAGACAGGAGAACATAGGACGGATGGGACAGCAGAGAATATAGATAGGCTTGGTTTAGTTCCTGCAGTATGTTTTTTGCTCTTAGTTGATAGTATGTTGCCTGAAACAAGATGACAACAGAAACAGAAAAACGAACAATCTATTTTCACATTGATATTAACTTGAGATCATAATGATATATCTGATAATATCAGATAATTTAGTCCGTCTTGCTTCTACACCTAGTGTAAAATCTCATTTACGTTCTTTCTTATCCAGAGATACCACTTATCTCCACAGCTAGAAATTATACCATGGGTAAGAATCACTTTCAGTAGCTACTAATCGTCAATACGGGAATTTTAATACTTTTTGAACTTTACTCAGTTGCACATTCGATCAAAAAGGATCTGCATTCTTATTATGTAAACCACTGAACTCAGACTCGTTTGTTAACACTTTTCTTTTATTTCCTTATTTCAGCAGTATTTATTAGTCTTCCGCAGTCTTTCAGCTCTAAATAATCTTTAAATACCTCTTTAAATGTCTTTACTTTTTCTCACAATGAATTTCTCAAGTCTTTCATCTCTATTCAAGAGGATTATTAAAAGTATAAATACATCATACATTTTGGATGATTTCCTTCCGCACCAAAAATAAATTTCCAAATTTTTGAAAATTCGTTCCAGTTACGCCATAATAATTTACTGAGGAATTATTAATTTTGCATTATTTTCACCATGTGTTAAAATAGTTTATAATAATTAATCCGCAACGATGTTAAATGTCTTTCTTATGTCTTTCTCCATGTTTTTCTTAGTTTTTAATAAGAAAAATATATAATTACGTAGTAATTATAAATAAATACCAAAACAATTCTCGGTAGATGTCAAAGACTGACTGAAAACATTTATTAACCTCTTATGTGAAAATATACATTTTATAAGCTGACACTGACAATGTTGTCAGATGAACAGAGGGTAAAGTGGGAAAAAATATCGATAATTGAAGAGTTCATTATCTACATATTTGGATTAACGTGTGAAACATCGTCCTTTATTACCAATTTTTGGCCTTTTTTGGCCTATTTGAATTTTTTTAGGCCCTTAACCGTCCGATGGCAATTGAAAAAAGTATATTACCCAAATGTATGTATCCTAAGCTTGAAGTATAAAAATAAAATCGAAAATCGGAGAGACTGTTTTTTAGATAATGCAGTTTGAACATTGAATGGCGAAAAAATCGTAAATTTTAAAAACAACTCTAAATTACGGTCATTTAAATAATTTTTAGCTCAACTTTGATGGCATATTCAGAATCTGCATAAAAAGTTGGTCTAGAAACACTCTTTCAAAGTATGATCGATTGATACAGAGTCTCGCTACAGAGAGTCAAAGAGAGGGAAGTCGAGAAAATGAGAATCGCTAAAACGGGCGTTTTTGAATATGGCTAAAATTCACCCCATCTTTGGGGGTCGATATCTCGCGAACGGTGCGTCGGATGGAAAAACCCTTCAAATTAGTTTCTTAGAATGATGTAAAGACCCCGTATACCAATTTTCAGCCAAATCGGAGGGGGTCGGGTTCCGAGCTTGGTTGCGTTGACGTGGAATGACCCTTCTCCCGTTGAGAAGAATCAGGAGAACTTTCATTCTCCAACTAAAAAATTCTTCCACAAGCCAGTGCGGTGGCTTTAGAATTTTTTTTTTCTCTCCCTGATGTCAACCACCGGAAGCCTAAGGATTTTTCAACCAACCACTGGAACCAAAGGAGCCTCCATTGACGTCTGGAAAAAGTTCACTGGGTGAGTCGTGAATAAAAATGTAAATTTCATTGGTATTATGTGTGTGAATCCAGGGATCTCTAAGTGCTCCCCCGCCCCCATTGACCTTAACAAAATATTATTATTTTAGTGACAAATTAGTGCAGTTTTCCAGTGTCATCACTTATTTTTCTGTGTTTTTACTGCATTATAATTTCATTAAAAATGACATCGACAAATAGTAGTAACGGGTCTGGCTCGTCAAAACAACATGACAAACTCATAATGTTAATGCTAGAAAAATTACCCGATTATTCAGTAAATTCTCACGAAACTATTGAAATATTTTGTAAAGAATTTGAGGAAATAGCAGAACTGGCCAAATGGTCCGATTCTATGAAATTTCATTATTGTAAAACTAAATTACGTTCAGAGGCTTTAGAATTCGCTAAGCAACATCCCGAATTAAATATCGAATATAAGTGTTTAAAAGACTTATTAATTAAGAGATATGAGAAAGAAAAGGATGAAACGGGTGAAAAAATTAAATTTTTTAGTAGAGTTCAATTCGTAAGTGAATCAGTCAGAGAATATGCAACCGCTTTGACAAAATTAGGCTACAAGAGTAAGGAAACAGGAGCTGACGAGGCTGAGGAGGCAATGTTGAAAAAACAATTATCTGTACAGTTAAAAACTATTTTTCCTAAAGGTTTAAGTGATGACATAAGACGTTTTGTCATAGTGCGCCGTCCCAAAACTTTTGAGGATGCTGTTAAAGAAACTACTTTCGAAGAAGACCAAATTATGTTGCGAACATTTACTTTTTGTATGAAACAAGGTCATCTAGAAAGCTCGTGCCGTTTGAAAAATAATGCAATTACAAGTAATTCAGAACATCGCCTCCTAAGCCACAGCAGACAATTACAGGAATCTTATAGAATACCAAAAGTTCCACAAAAAGAAAATGTAATCGCGTCGACTGAAAATGACAGAGATAGGCAACCCTCACGACAAGACTTTAATAGGGGTTACTCAAGGGAACCTAACGAACGCAGTAGTTCCAGCCACAGACCTGCCGAGCGAAGGTCATCCAATTCTTATCAAAGGGGTCAAAATTTTCAAGAAGCCCCACCAGGGCGAGTGGGGCATTAACTTTGCAATCGCATGATAATCATTCAAAGTCAGCTTGTGTAATAATGCTTGAAAAGGATAATTTGGGCTACATAGCAGAATTCAAGGTAAACCATATGGAAATGCCTTTAAGGTTATTAATTGATACAGGTAGTATGGTAAGCATTTTGAAAGGAAAAAATTCGTGTCACGTGACGCACGAACAATTTATCAATCCGAATAAGCGCGTTTATTTAACGAATATTAGTCAATCACAGGTTCTCACTGCTGGAACAGTGCATGTGCCACTTTCTTATGGAAACCATATGTTTCAACATGAATTTCATGTTCTCGATTGTGATACCGTTGATTCAGTCTCTGGAATTCCGGGCATTGATTTCTGTGACAAGTATAAAGTAACTCTAGTCCTTCCAGAAAATCGCATGCTCATGTCTCTTAGCGACTCATATGCAAATATTTTAAAATTCAGCTCAGGCATAATAAGAACAGTCCCTTGTGAGAGCCACAGTTTGGAAAATAACCCTCCCTCAAGTACATACACAGTTCAGAAAACAATGCCACGAATCCGACAAGAAAATTCAGAAATTTCAGCATTTTCCCGAGACGGGAAAAATCAGAGAAATTTTTCACCGAAAATTTCCCCGGGAAGAAGACATTTCACTGAGTCTTCACGCGGAAATCGACAATTTCAGAATTTTTCACAGAAAACCAGTTTTTCCACGGAAAAACCGGAATTTTCTAAACATTTTAATGAAAGTAAACAGGAACACAACTTACTTTTTGTGACTTCTCCAATAAATTTAAGCCCTAATTCAGTAACTCAAGTAAAATTTAAGCATAACTTTGAACTTGGTTTAAATTATACATTTTCTCCTTATCAAATTTCCAGGAATGGTTTAATTCATTCAATTCATACTATCATTTTTGTTGACCAAGAAACAGTAAAAATTCTAATTTTTTAATGAATCCAATGAATCAGCTTGTATAAAATCAGGGGCCATGGTAGGAAAATTAAGGAAATCCATTTATCCACAAAATTGGTATCCTACCGGAGAAATGGGCGAATCCACGAAATCGCCAATGGAGCAGAAAAAGTCAGTTGTTGTTACCAGAAATTTTCATAATGATTACCGTAGAAATGACAGATTCAAGCAGGATTCTAGGTTTAAACATTGCGAGAATATTCCGAAGGAAAATTACCGCAAGTTTGAGCCAGGAAATGCTAGAAATCATGGAAATTTTTCAGAGCCTCAGGAACGTTATCTATACTAATAAAGCAGACTTCACGTTGATTGACTCACTCACTGACTCACGTATCAGCGGATCTCGTGAACGGGAGGCCGTGTGACCCTGAGATTCCGCACTGGGATCCCTCTCTACCCCGAGGCGCCGGATAAGGGAGGATTTCGCGATCCGCCCGCCGGTTCGCGGGATATCGCGGTCCGCGCGGGTCGATTTTCCCGTAAGGACAACGGGTGCGAGAGAGAGTGCGAGCGAGATGGAGCGATTTCCGCGTCTCGCGCTGGAAGACAGCTGATAAATTTTACGTGTGTTCTTCTGGTGCGCGCAACGGGTGCGAGGAAGATGGAAGGAGTTCGGCGTCCAACGAGTGCGAGGAAGATGGAACGAGTTCGGCCGCAGGCACTTGGATGCCTGTAGTGCAAAAGTTTAAAAGTTTAAAATTTTATAAAGCAGACTTCACGTTGATTGACTCACTCACTGACTGACTCACGTATCAGCGGATCTCGTGAACGGGAGGCCGTGTGACCCTGAGATTCCGCACTGGGATCCCTCTCTACCCCGAGGCGCCGGATAAGGGAGGATTTCGCGATCCGCCCGCCGGTTCGCGGGATATCGCGGTCCGCGTGTGTCGATTTTCCCGTAAGGACAACGGGTGCGAGAGAGAGTGCGAGCGAGATGGAGCAAGTTCCGCGGCTCGCGCTGGAAGACAGCTGATAATTTTACGTGTGTTCTTCTGGTACGCGCAACGGGTGCGAGGAAGATGGAAGAAGTTCGGCGTCCAACGAGTGCGAGGAGGATGGAACGAGTTCGGCGTAGCGCTGTTGGAAACGCCGCGCCATGATTTTTGCGAGCTCCGACTCGTGCATCCGTTGCCGGGCTACTCTCTTGGGGATGTGAAAATCTGGAAAATCTGTCTGTGCATTGGCATAGACTCTTTATTCTATGGCATTGGTCTCCTCTGCGAAAGTATGAGATATTTGCTCCGCGGATCCTTTTGTTTTCTTCCGTTTTTTTTTTTTTTGCAAAAGATTGGTGAAAAATGTGCTTCGCGGAGCCTTCCGTTTTCTGTTTTTTTTCTTTCTTTTTTTTTGCGAAAATTTAACTGCTCAAGTCCGAAAGTAAATAAATTGTTGTGATTTAGTCTTCACATCGCCTAGGGTTATTTTTTGTTACTTTTTTTATCTTCTGTTTGGAAATGATTTGGGCAAATTCTCGGAAAATTTTAAGAGAAGCTGTTGTTTGGCTTCAAAAATAAAATAAATAAACCAAAATGGACCATAAAGACGATGTGCAACGTTGCAATCGGAGGAGAAACGGGGTTTTCGCGCGCATTTCATCAATATTTGACTCCGATCGTGGAAGGCGCTTTTGATAGAACTATTACTCCACGGGGGATGTCCACATTGCCGCTTGCTAGATTGAAGGCGTTTTGTACTGTGATGACGGCTCGGTCACACTGCGCCTGCAGACGCGGTGCTGACAGCGGAGCAAAACTAGAACATAGCTTCGACATGCCTTTTTTTTTCTTTTTTCTTTTTTTATTTCAAAACATTAAATCTTATATAAGGAAACCATTCCACATGGTTACATTTCATAGTTCTCGTGAAATTGAATTTGGATTCTTCCAATTCGTCACTTTAAACGAGCAGAAATAAGACGAGCAACTATTTGAACTCCGGAGTGGGTATGTGGTATCATACAAAATTGAAGGAAAATCATACGTTTTCGCCCATCCCAAGTAACATATGTTTACGAGTTTTATGCGCACATTGTGTAGTCTTAATTGAGTCAGAAATTCGCGTGTATACCACGATATTGATGTGAATAACGTGCAATTATAATAATCTTAGAAATTCGCTAGGAACACGACGTATTTGCAGTGATATCGTGGTGATTATCGTGTAATTTCTAATTTGTTTTACAAAATCCCTGGAAAAATCACGTTTTCTCCGCGATGTAGATGACAAACCCGCCATTTCTGAGAATTAGA